AATCAGCTATGTTTGAATAGACTCTTCTCTCCCCTATAAAAACATCTATCCTTTCTCCAGCACCATTGAATATCCTTGTTATATGGTTCCTGTTGTTGGAAAGTCCATATACATTCTGCACTAAAGAACTGGAAAAGTGGCTGAGAAAGTCTGTCATAACCAGTGTCCCAGGATCAAAGAATGCCTCTCTCCTGGCTAAATTTCCTTCATCTTCATGTTGGACCTACCTATCACAATACTCAAAGTCTGGACTCTGTATATACATATACATATATATCCTGCTTCCTCCAGAGAACTGCTACTACACTGTGCTAGGTCTTTAGGTCTTTGGGATGACAGTGAGGCCAATGGAACCTTCCCCTCTTCTTTCTTTGCCCCAGCCCTCACTCACCCCTGTAGTGTCTACAATCAATCATTTTGTCTTTTATGTGAGGCAAACTAAGACTATGCTGAAAGTCCTATTGCTTCTATCTATATACTGATTTACTTTTGTTTTTTAATCTAAATCCCAAAAAAACAGCAATAGACTGAAATAGTGAGGAAAAAGCTGCAAAAGTAAGAAGAGTCATATTTAAGCAAGTCCAGAGTCAAAAAGCCAGAAATCCATAAAGGGAACTTAGGCAGGAGAAGGTCAGATTCTCAGAGCAAACCCAAAGCCAGGAAGACTCTGTAAAGAAAAAGGTCACAATGAAGGGAGAATACTAGCCAGCAGTATTGATGATTTGCTTCATTAAAAGAATAAACCTTTAAAAAGAATTCTTTTCTACCATGCTCCCTTCTTAGTCAGTTAGTAGCCAACTACCACTGTGGGTATAGAGAGAGCTACCTGGTTGTAGATTTTATTTTCCACATTGAGGAATCTAAACTTTTTTTCTGTAGACATTATAAAATAATTAATTTACGGCAGAGGAATAACCTAAGGTCTGTGGAAAATGGATTATCAACCTGGCAGCAGTTGGAACGATGGATTGGAAGAAAACTAGAGGCTGGGAAACCTGTTAGGATGGCTTTTACAGTGAGTCAGTCAAACAGTAATTGGATATTGGAAGTGACAGACAAAAGTACTCAAGGATAACACTCAAATTTAAAGCATTAGGTCCTTAATACCATTAACATAAACAATTAAGTCAGAATGAATCAGTTTCTTTTTGGGGGGCAGGAGGGGAGAGAGGAGAATCAATCAGCCAATCTACAAGCAATTTATCAAATGCCCAGTAAGAGACAGCTAAGTGGCAAAGTGGATAGAGTGCCAGGCCTGAAGTCAGAAAGACCTGAGTTCAAATCCAACTGAAGACATTTACTAGACCCTGGGCAACTCACCTAACCCTGTTTGCCTCAGTTTCCTCATCTGTAAAATAAGCTGGAGAAGGAAATGGCAAACCACTCCAATATCTTTGCCAAGAAAACCCCAAATGGGGTCATGAAGAGTTGGACACAACATGAGACACAGTCCTAAGTGTTGGGCATACGAAGACAAAAATGAAAAAGCCCTTTCCAAATCTGTAAGTATGTGTGTATGTGTGTGTGTATATACACACATACACACATATAACATATACATACACACACAAACATTAAATAAAAGGTAATGGGGGGGTACTAACTTGGAAAAATCAGAAAATGGCACTCTAGCTGAATTTGGAAAGAAACAAGATTCTGAGAAGTGCAAGACAGGGAGTGCATTCAAGACATTTGGGTAACAGCTTGAGAGAAAGGATGGAGATAAGAGAAAAGCTGTGTAAGTGACAGACAGCAATGTGAAAAATCCTATTATGGATGTGTTATATTTGAGGTACCACTATGAGAACCAAGGGTAGATACCCAGTAGGCAATTGGAAATATTAATCTAAAGTTTAATAAAGAGGTAGGGGCTAAAGATATGGATTCAGGAATTTGTAGAAGAGGTATTAAAGCTGTAGTAGAAAAGAATGCCAGGAAAGAGAATAGGAAGAGGAAAAAACCTTGGGCAGCACCTACTTCAAGGGAAGAGGGGGAAAAAAAGCACAAAAAAAAATGATCAGTGATAGAAATTTGGAGAAGAACCAACGGAATAAGATTAAGGAAAAGAGAATATGGAAGTGATAGCTAGCAAATCACTAAAGTGTAGGAATAGCAAATCACTCTGGCAAATGAAGCCAGAGGTAGGGAAATAGACCAGGAGAAAAAGGAGGGGTCCAAACATCATGATCAGGAGAAAAAACTGATTTGTATAAGGGAATGGAAGATGTTTTCACTCAATTCTCCCTGGGAGAAGTTACCTAACAAACTAAAAACTATAAAGGAGAATCTGGTCATAAAGTAAACAAAATAAGGAAGACAGTTGAAAGATGAAAGTAGCCAAGAAAGAGGAGAGGGAATATACTCTAATATTAATGAATGATCACAACATGTGTGTTTACACTAAGAAGGCTCAGGGAAAATCCCAAGAGTAAATGGAGTGACTCAAAAGGAAGATATGGGAGAGACGGCATGAGGGAATAGAGTAATTAAGCTTTGTCTGCTTTTCTGAGAGGTGACTTGCTAACTACTGGTTTCCTTGGTGGGACAGCTAGTAGAGTAGAACCAAATGAGTACTAATCTGGATAACAATTGGTAAAGGCACTTAATATATAAGTAGGTTTGAATGTCTTGGAAATGGTTCCCATTATGGGTGGTAGTGGTAGCTCTAATATCTGGTCAGAATATATAATTTTAGAGTTCTAGATCTTGGAGGTAATATATTTCCCAATAATGATGAAATGTGGCCATGTTACTGTGCTGCAGTAGGATTATATTACAGCAGGATTACAGAAACTGATGAAATTGAAAAACTGTGAGAACACAGTGTCCTTAGAGTCATCAAAGCGAGTATCAAGAGTACTCAGCCAATCTAGAGCAAACTTTGAGGAAGGTGTGAAAGTGACTGAGAGGTTGGTAACAGCAACATGGATATAATCTGCCTTTTGTGCTTTCAGAAGAACTTTCTGGAGCTCACCTCAGTGATCAGTGATGTGGGGAGACCAAATGATATGTGATATAGGTGAAAAATTATGATTATTACAACAAAACCAAGTAAGTTTGATGAGGAGCAGTCCACACAGTATTTTGTCTTTATGATCTCACAGATTAATCCTTCTACACCAATCTTCTACCCTAAGTTCTTGACTTGAGTACAAACACTCCCTTTAGAAAGCAGAAAATATAACTTAAACTAAATTCATAGCTTCCTTACGCCCTCAAACCCAGCTTCTTCCCTTCCTAACTTCCCAGTCTCTCTCAGCACCACCAGTTCTCTAAGTCACTTCAACTCAAAAACCTAAGTCATGTGATACAATAAAAAGAACAATGGATTTGGAACCAGGAGAGTCCCAGAGGTCCAACCACAGTTCCCACACTTACTAGATATAAGATCATAGGAAAGTCACAATGTCACTGAGTTTGTTTTTTTCATTCCTAAAATGGGGATATAGCTACCTCATGGGGTTGCTATAAGAAAAGCATTTTGCAAACCTTACCACATATATGAGTTAGTATCTGTGATTCCCTCCCCTGCATCTTCCTTCATTTGTCACCCAAATGTTTCTTTTCATCAATACTGCCACCAACCCAGTCTAGGCCTTCACTAGACTGCTATAACATTCTCCCATCCATTATCCTCTCTCCAGTTCCTTCTCCTTCATATCCACTCCATCTGCTGCTCCACCCGGCTGCCCCTATGTGTGATCATGAGCAATCAGAAGAAACTATATGCAAAGCTCTTTGCAAATCTCAAAGCACTATATAAATGTCAGCTGTTTTATTAGTATTTAGTGGTATTACAAGTCATTTCTATCCTCTAATGCGTGTCCTGCTTATTTCACAGGGTTCTTATGAGGCTCTAGTGAGATAATATATGTAAAGGATAGTGACTGGATCTGTGGTTTCCCACTGAGGAACTTGTACAAATACAAGCCATTACCTTTTCTGCCACATATCGTCTTGGCAAAATGTCATGTTACATGCAGGACTTGAACCAAGGTCTCCTTCAGTCCTGATGTCAGCTCTATCCACTATGCACTAAGCCCTTCCTGACATACCTAAAATACTTGGTAAACTTTAAAGGGCTATAGGAATGTCAGTTGTCAGTGTAGTTATTTTAACATTCCTAGGATTAATCTGTGAAAGCAAAGACACAAAATCGAAAATGGGAATTCACTGAAACCCCAAAGAAACCTTCTCTTCTGGATCAGGATGCGGGTCTGGGAGTCTTGACCAATTACTATCACCTTCGGTTCCTGGCTGCCCCCAGCCTCACAGCTGACAAACATGCCTGGGCTCGAGTCTCGGGCACACTGTGCTGGTCATTAACACAAACTTCACCGACTCCACACCAGGGAGTTAGAGCTTACCCTGTCCAGAACCAAGACGACCCAGGGAGGCCAGGCCCAGGGGCATCGGAACATGACCTGACTGGGCTGCCCCCCCCCATCCTGACCTTTCTGAGATCGCCTTCCGGTCAGCCTCCCTCTTTGTACAACCCTCGAGGGCGCCTTCCGGTTAGCCCCTCCTTTCTCTGAGGGCGCCTTCCGGTCAACCAGTGTCTGCCTGTCTGTGTCTCTGTATGTGTCTTTCTCCCTCTCAACACAACTGCTGAGAACGCCTTCCTGTCAGTCTCTCCGTTCCCCGAGGGCGCCTTCCGGTCAGCGTCTCTCTCAGCACAACCCTTAAGGGCACTTTTCCGTCCCCTTCTGAGGGGGCGAGCTCTAGTTTAAGGCCACGTTCTCTCTTCCTCTCTGCCCCCTGCAGGCCAGGCGGACTCAGCCTTCAGTCCTAAACCTGCGAGTCCCGGCCCCAGAGGGGCATCAGAAACTGACTTCTATCTCTACTTCTAACCACAGCCTGCATGGTGGGTTAGTATGTGGGTGTGCGGACGGTACAGAGGAAAAAGAAATAGGTTGTAGATTTAGAGCTGGAATGGACGTTCAAGGCCATCTAATCCAACAACATTTTACAGATGAGAAAACTGAGGCCCAAAGATTAAATGACTTTCCAAAGGTCCTACAACTGGTGTCCGAAATAAGAATTGAACCCAGGTTCCATGACTCTAAATCTAGCTCTCTTTCCACCAGACTCTGCTTAGAAATGTCTAATTACACACACTTTCTACAAGTGCTGCTAAGAGTCTCTGTGTATAGGTAATTTTCAACTAGATTGTAAGCTTCATGAGGGCAGGGGCTATCCCACATGCAGTGCTATCATTTGCAGTGAAAGAGTGTCGGTCTTGGTGTCCAGCCTCCTCATTCATCTAAAAAGTAAGAACCTATAATAAACCTACCTCACAGGGATGGTTGTGAGAAGTAAGGGAGATTTTATATATGTGTGTGTGTGTGTGTGTGTATATGTGTGTGTGTATGCATATATATCTTTGCAGACCTTAAAAGCCTGTATAAATGCCAGCTTTTATTAATCCCAGGTCTACCACTTCCTAGTTGTGTGACCTTGTATAATAATAACCACTCACATTTATACCACATTTTAGGGTTTTCAAAGCACTTTCCTTACAACAACCCAGTAAGGGAGGGCAAATCTACTGACTCTGATCCTCAATTAATCAATACGCATTTATTTATTAAACACTTACTATGGCCAAGTACTGTAGGGGTACAAAAGCAAAAATGAAACATAACTTTTCCTCAAAGAAATTACATTCTGTCAGGGACAACATGTACATATATAAATATGTACAAAATATCTTCAAAATTAATACAAGAGAATGGAAGGGAAGCAAGGGGAGCTGGAGGGGAGGAGAAATTGGAAGGTCGGTATAAAAGGCACTTAAGCTAAACATTGAAAGAACTTACAGATTCTGAGATGGAAAAAAACTGACAGATTCTAAAAGGGAATACTTTTCAGGTACATGGGGGACAATCCATTATTAAATTGTGACAATTAGTTAAGGATTTGTTAAACAATTACTATATGCTAGGCACTGTGCTAAGTGTTGAGGACACAATAAAAGGCAAAAATAACTCTTGCCTTCAGAGAGCTTACGTCCTAATGAAGGAGACAGTTACATGAGACTGAGTCAGAGATACACACACATATTTTGTTGTTGAGTTTTCAGTCTTTTTGGCTCTCAATACTCCATTTGGGGTTTTCTTGGCGAAGATACTGGAATGGTTTGCCGTTTCCTCCTCCAGCTCCTTTTACAGATGAGGAAATTGAGGTAGACAAGGTAAAGTGACTTGCCCAGAGTCATACAGCTAATAAGTGCCTGAGGTTGAATTCAAACTCAGGAAGATTAGTGATGAGTCTTCCTGATTCCACGCTTTGTGGTCTATCAATAGAACAGAAAGAGAAAGAAGGAGCAGCATTGGGGGGTGAGGGGTGGCTGGGAGGGGACAGACCACACAAGAAAGACCTCCTACAGAAAGTGGGATTTTAGCCAAACTTGAAGAAAAACAGGAAAAGCATGAGGTAGAGTGGAGGCAGAGGTATGCTGGTAAAAAGTTTAATGATTGTCTTTCCACCCCCAAAAAAAATATGTACATACTACACCCTTTAAAGTTTAATCTGCGTTATTAGCATTTTCTTGGTCACTTATGTATTTAATGTTTGGTAATTTCCGAGGTGTAAATGCTCACGCTGACCATTTAATAATCGGTTCTGAGTCAGTTTGAGCAATCTCTAGCATTTTGGGCATGAGGAACACCTTGCACATAGCCTGTGCAAGGCGCCAAGTCAGGAGAAGAAGCATCATGTAAGAATAGTGACTAGGCCAATGTAGCTCAGTCATGGACGGGAAGCAGAGTGTAAGACAACTGGAAAGGTGGTGAGGAAGAGCTTTGAATTTGACCCTGAAAGTGACAGGGAAATGTCCCCTACCTGTGGAATGGGTAAACAGGACTGATTAGGGCCACAACGTAGGGTGGAAATCCAATGAGAAGATCCCTAAAGTGTCTTGTAGCCAGAATTCCTGACTGTTCATATCGTCCACTTCAACCACATTGTCTTTGTGTCCCCCAGGCACCAGCACGTACATACATTGGAGCAGAGTAATCACTTAAGAAACGTCTGCTGTATGAAGGTTTACCTTGCTTGGGGTGGGGGTCGGGGGTGCGGTGTCAGCACTTAGATGCCAGTAATAGTCCCCATCTAGTCCCCATCTAGGTCACCCTGAGACCATCCACAAAGGATATGAAGAGGCTCTGGGAAAGAAGATGTGTCTTTATTCACTGTAGACCACACGGGAGGACCTAATTCATACTTTTCTTGGTTCTGCTAATGAAGGTGAGATTCTGCAGCAATGAAAGCACTCTTCCTTCACCTGGTGGCGTACTAGTTATTCCCAGTTATAATCATGGGAGGAGCTTCGGACATCCTTAGATGTGATGTGAATCATGACTCATCAAGCTGAACCAGAGAAGGGAATCTAGCAATCCGGACATGTGCAGTGGGCAGCTCCATATGCCCCATACATCAGCCTTTATGAAATCTACAGGATAGTGGACTCAGCCCTAACAACTGGAGGTTTCTCCATACCACCTCTGTCTTCCTTAAGCTTTATGGGTATTAAATAGTAGCAGAAAATTACCTAGTTAAAATGTATACTTTTTTTTTAAATCACAATATTAACAATTTTGACTTCATGGTTTTATTCCTTACTTTGTTCATTCACTTGTTTGGGGGTTTAGATCGTGATTAAGTTTATAATAAAATACTTTAAAGGGCTTTCTTCATGATAAGTAATTTTAAAAATCTTTCTGAATAAGAACTATAGATTCCCAAAAGAATTATGACTCTTTAAATCAGGTGCTTTGGGGACAGAAAACACATACTCTGTTGGAATTTTACTTAAGCCTATGAATCTCATCCTCTGTCCCTAATCAAATCTGCCAGATGTGAACAACTATACTCCAGGCATCTGAACTGATGTTTAATATCATTATCCTAAGCATTCTAAATCACACATGTTCAAGTGCCATTTCTATGGAGGCTTTGGAAAGGAATAAGATAAGAGAGGCCAAATACACAGATCAGGAGAGAATAGAAAAAGTCATTTTTACAATTCTTAATCTTGGGAGTTAGGGAATTAAAAACCTTTATGACACTGGATTAGGAAGACAATTAGGACACTTGGTAGTAAGGCCTCGGAATGAGAACCCCAGAGTTCCCCATCCCCTCTCACAGCCAGGATGATTTCCATTTGTGGAAAAGAAAATTTGTCGAAAAGGGACAGCAGAATGGGGAGGACACAAAGAAGCTTGGGAAGACTCGACCTTAACCTGTCAATGAGCAACCTTTCAGCCAATGTCCCAAACCCTATGCCATCCCCTAATACTACCTGTAGTATCTCTAGAGTTCCAGTAACCCAGAAATCTCTCCTTTGCTAGGATGAGAGGCAACATACAGGTAAAAAAAAAAAACAAAGACTATAAAAGTAGAAGACACATCTGAGTTCAAATCCAGGCTTTTCTGTGATCTTAGACCTGTCGGTCTTTCTGAGCCTTAGATCTCTGAAGTGGGGGTGATACAGAAATACCAATGTACACAGGGTTGTTATAAGCAAAAGTGTTGTAAAAAGCAAGGTAACCTGTAAAGTACTGGATGTACTTTGTACATCTTTGTAACCTGTAATAAAGTGGGCAGCTAGGTGGTACAGATAGAGTGCCAGGCCTGGAGTCAGGAAGATCCATCTTCCTGAGTTCAAACCTGGCCTCAGATACTTACTAGCTTGTGGCCTGGGGCACTTAACCCTCTTTGCCTCAGTTTCCTCATCTGTAAAAGAAACTGGAGAAGGAAATGGCAAGCCACTCCAGTATCTTTGCTAAGAAAATTCACAAATGAGGTCATGAAGAATCAGGCATGACTGAAACAACTGAACAATAACAAAGATAGCTTGGAGCTATTATATTGTGTAATATACTGTATAAATGTATGCCATCATAATTATTATTAGAGGTTGTAATCCAGGAAACATATGGCTTATATTAATGAGAAGGAAGTGAGATACAGTGGAGAGAATGATGGATTTCACATGAGAGGGCCAGAATTTGAATCCCAACTCTGCATCTTATTATTTCTGTGACCTTGGCAAACTATTTAATGTCTCTGGGTCACAATTTTTTCATCCATAAAGTGATGGGGGCTGACACCATCATAACCTTTTGGGTTCCTTCCAACTCTGAATCTATGCTCCTGTGATTCCTGTGTCACTTGAGGATAGTTAAAAGAATTTGGGATGTTTACCTAGAGATGAGAGGATTTACATGAAAGCTATCTTCAAATATTTGAAGGGGTTTAAAATGAAGAGGAATTTGCACTTGTTCTGATTGGCCACTAGTACAAAATACAAAGGAAGATTTAGGCTCCAATATACAGAAGAATTAGCTAACAGTGGCAGCTATAAAACACACAGTGGCCTACCTCACTAAGTTGTGAGTTTCTTAGCATTGAAGATACTACAGAAGGGACTGGATATCTATTCATCTATGTCATGTATGGCTTAGACTGAATGACCTCTAAGTTCCCTTTCCACATTGGGATCCTGGAATTCTAAATGGGGAGTGAGGGTGTTGAATACTGTTATGGATCTTGTGAGGAGAACAGATAGCAGTGTTTTCCAAAGATCTGATGTCTGAGTAATGAGGCAATATAGCTGGGCCACCTTTTTACAAGGTGGTCACTGCTGATCGGACAATTAAGTAGCATCTTCCCTTCACAAGTCTAAGTCTTATTCCTTTAGCTTCCTAAAGTCACAACATTTTAGAACCTAACATTTGTAAATTCTATAATGACTTGAAGGTGCTTTGATAGTTCCTCTATCCCAGTGAGAGACTAGAGAGAATGGATGATGTATGCCCAGGTAACATTTTAAGCTAGGATGAGGCGGGGGGGGGAACATTTAAAGGTGGGGATAAAGATGGGACTGGAGACTTGAAGAGTCAGAGAAGTCAATTCAGTTCAACGAGGATTTATTAGAGTGGAGTAGAGGTGGTATCCACAGAGAGGGAAAGAAGATTTTGCCCTCATCTTAGAAAAGGAAGATGCCACGAGGGACTGTCTTTGGCCTTTCTTTATATCTCCAGCACTTAGCACAGTGCCTCACACGTAGTAAGAGTTTAACAAATGTTTATTCACTGAGTGACCCCCTGAGCTACTGGAGAACTATGAAATCTCATCTCCCCTTTGACTGAGATGTTGTGGACCAGATGGCTGTATGAGGGCTGGTTCCCAAGCGGAATGGCAGGAGGTTTTTTACTTTTTGACTACTTTAGGGAATTCCTCAGTGTTGGGAATCCCCAGTGAAGAAACTTTCCTCACCTATGCAAATCAGCAGCTAGTTTTAGAGAGTTGCCTTAGGCACTTAGAGGTCAGAGGTTGCATACAGTCAACATGCTTCAGAGGTGAGACTTAATCCCAGCTCTCCTGAAGGTCAGCTTCTAACCACTGTACCATAATGCTCTTAGCAACAAGTTAAAAATGGAAAAAAAAAAAAAAAGCAAATTTGTACCCTTCCATTCCCACATAGATGTGCCCTGAGGGAACTCTGGCAACCTGGTAATCCATCCCAGAAGCTTTCACATGAGGATTCTGAGGAGTTAAATAATCTGTTGGATTCTTGCTTTCCTCTTTTTCTTCTGTGTCATTGCCATAGGCATAGAAAGGACTGAAGACTCAGGAATAGTTCAGTTTGAATCTTGCATGAGACATTTACTAGCTATATGACCCTGGGCAGATCACTTCACTTCTCTCAGTCTTGGTTTCCTCACCTATAAAATGAGGATAATAAAGATACCTGCCTCAAAGAATTTTTGTGAGTATCAAATGAGATAATATCTATAATGCACTTTGAAAAACTTCAAGGTCTATATAAATGTTAGCTATTTATATAGCTATTGATATTGATTTATATGGCTATTAATATTGACAGCTATATTATCTATATATCATGATTGTGAGCTGTGTACTTACCAATTAGGAATTATTCTCAGAGCACTGGGAGACACTGCAAATACTTTTCTCCAGCTTTCCTGGGTAGGAACTATAAACCTAAAGGGTGAGGAAATCTTCTAAATTATATTTGGGCGCTTCATGTCATGAGAGTATCTCAATTTAAGGGGCACACATTTGGATAAACCAAGAGAATAAATTTGGCCACCTTAGCATCCACCAACTCAGCCTAACACAATGTCCTCTATGGGACAAAGAGAAGCTTATTAGTAGGTTTAATACTGGTCATGGGTAGGTTGACTAGTCTGAGAGAAATAAGATTCTGGAGAGAAATAGTGCTTAGTATTCTCTGCAGAGAAGAGACAGAATAACCCTCTCTTCTCTCCATCTATATATCCATCCATCCACTCATCCATCCATCCATCTATCTATGTATACATACACAAGGGTACAAGGGCAGTTAGGTAGTACAGTAGATAGAGCACCAGGCCTGGGGTTAGGAAGACTCATCTTCCTGAGCTAAAATCTGGCCTCAGACACTTCCTACCTGGGTGACCCTGGGCAAGTCACTTAACTCTCTTTGCCTCAGCTTCCTCATCCATAAAATGAGTTGGAGAAGGGAATGACAAACCACTCCAGTATCTTTGCCAAGAAAACCCTGTAAGGGGTCACAAAAAGTCAGACATGACTGAAATGACTGAACAACAACAAAGACATTCACAATATCTCTACCACAGGACTTCCCCTACAGGTCACCAGAGACTCTACTCCCTGCCAATAAAGACATTCTTGACCTTCTTGTACTCTGAATGGAAGGCTACTATAAACCACAATCTCCTCTTCCACCTCTTCTCTCTCTCAGCTTCAATCTCATCATATATAATCTAAGAATATTAGAAAGTTGATCAAGTCTAATCTGAAAATCCTTATTTTACAAAGAAGAAAACTAAGGCTTGGCCAAGGGAAGAGCCTTGCCCAAGATCATACTAAGAGTCAGATAAATTGACTTAGATTCAAACCAACTCTTCTTCCTATGAGCCTAGGAATCTCTCTTCTCTACAAGATGCTGCCTCAACCAATTTCCATATATCTCTTAAGGAAAACAAAAACGGAAATAAATCCTATAATCAATAGGTGATAGAATCAATATTCCAATTTTTATGTAACTGAATGTCATATTTCTTATGTTGCCTGATCAAGTGTGATTCTTATCCATGGTGTGCTGGGGCCCATCCACTTAAATTCCTCATCTATAAAATGAGGCTTTTAAGATCCCTTCCAATTCTGAATCTGTGAATCTATATTTCACTTGATTTCTCAGACTGAAGCCATCCAAGTGAACTACCTAATTTTCTACATGTAATTTTCTTCTTCTAATGGCATCTCTTGTCACCCCCATCTACCAGAATAATAATAGTTCTTATTTATATAATGCTTTAAAGTTTGCAAAATACTTTTCATACATTATCTTACTTGATCCTCACAAGAACCCTGAGAGGTAAGTGCTATTGATCTCATCAGTAAATGACTCCAGACATACACAAACACACATCTCCAACCCTACCCATTGTTCCTCACGAGCTTCATATCTTATCCCTAACTGCCAACTGGACATTTGTTTGAATGTGGCCTCTCCCATTATATTATAAGCTCCTCAAGGACAGGGATTATCTTTTATCTCTTTTTATATCCCCAGCACTTAGCAGAGTGCCTGGAACATAGTAGGCATTTAATAAATGTTGGCCAATTGATTGATTGGACATTTCAAAGTGGATATCCTGTAGGCATCTCAAAGGTAACATTCTCAAAGCATAACTCATCTTTTCTCCCAAACCCAGCCCACTTCTAGAGTTCCCTTAGGCTGCACCAATCTTCCAGTCATACAGATTCACACTCTTGATATCACCTTCAACTGGTTACTCTCCTTCACTTCACCTTTCCAATTAGTTGCTAATTCTTCTTGATTCTACATTCACAACATCACTCAAATTCATCACTTTCTATCCACTCATGCAGCCACCTTAGTTCAACCCCTCATCCTCTCTTGCCTAAATTATTGCAATAGCAACTTAATCTTCCTGCTTCAAGTCCCTCTCCATTCTAGTCCATCTTCCACATAGCTACCAATGTGATATTTCTAAAGCACAATTCTGGCCATATCACTCTCCAGTCCAAAAAACTCTAGTGACTCTCTATCATCTCTAGGATCAAATACAGATGCCTTTGATTGAAATTTAAAGCCCTTCACAACCTAGCTCCAACCTGTCTTTGTTGTTATTCAGTTGTTTCAGCTGTGTTCAATTCTTTGTGACCCCATTTGGGGTTTTCTTGGCAAAGATATATTGGAGTGGTTTGCCATTTCCTTCTCATTTGTCCTGATTATTTTTCAGATGAGGAAACTGAGGCAAACGGAATTAAGTGATTTGCCCAGGATCACACAGCTGGTACATGTCTGAAAGCATATTTGAACTATGGCACCACCTAGCTGCCCACAAATAATAATAATAGTTGACATTTGTATATGTTCCAGGCACTATGCTAAATGCCTTACAATTATTATCTCATTTGATTCTTACAACAACCAGGAAACTGAAGCAAACAGGGTAAAGTGACTTGCCTAGGGTCACAGAGCTAGTAAGTATTTGAGGCCCGATTTGAACTCAGGAGGCCGAGTCTTTCTGACTCCAACCCCAGAACACCATCTACTGAGACACCTAGCTGGCCCCAGGCCTTGTTTATAATTTATAATATACGTTAATCTCCTTCACACAGCCAAATCAATCTTATGATCCAGAGGAGTACTAGAGCCTACTTAAACAGGCTTGTAAGCACTTACACCTTGGAAATCAGCAAACTCTACAAATCAGGGCTTGATTTATTGTTTTGTTGATTGTCTAGACTTCAGAAAATGATGGAGAAAAGATGATAGCACAAGTGACACATAAAAGAGTGTCACATACATTTGTTTGAGGGGGACAGCTGGTTATTAAATATTTACCAGCACGCAACTGGTCTTAACAGCGTTCTTCACATTCCATCTCCCATCTCCCAGGTTTTGCACAGGTTGTCTCTTGTGCCTAGCATGCCCTCTTTCCTTATCTCTGCCTCTTAGAATCCCTAGTTACTTTGAAATTCAAACACCACCTCCTACACCTTCTGTGCCCAGTTGTTAATGCCTCCCCTACATTTTGCATATTGTATTTATTTTGCATATTCTTATATGTGACACATTAGTAGGTGCCCAACAAATACTTGTTGACTTGTCTTTTTCTTGTTCTGTAATATAATGCAAGCTTCTGGGCAGGGACTGTTTCATGTTTGTCTATGTATCTGTAGTGCCTAAGCACAGTGTCTGGTTCATAGTAAGCATTTAATGTTTGCTTGATCATTGATATCCATTTTACAGATGAAGAAATCGAGGTTCAGAGAGTTTAGGTAACTTATCCAGGGTCATATAGAGCTAGTACTCGTTAGAGGCAGGATTTGGACTCAGATGTTTCTGACCTCAAGTCCAGCACTCCGTGGAATACATATACCATGCTAAAAGCCCTATTATGAGCTCAAGAATCTTGATCACATTTTCATTGATTGGTGTATTTAGAGAAATCTCATCAGCACACCCTCACCACCCAGGATTTAAAGAAAAAAAAAAGCATCCTAAGATGAATGTAAAGTCCACCCAAGGAAATTAGATTTATAGGCTAAATGCTTTAGATTTAAATTACAGTAGTTTATCCTGACAAGAACCAAGGAACAGCTGTCACATGCAATTATTTTTAGAGGTACTGCTAAGCCATTCTCACATTATGAGATGCTGCCAAGTAATTAACAGTGAGGGGTTTGGGGTTTGGGGGTAGAGGTGGGTTGCATTTTATCATGACAAAGCATTTAAGCATTCACTGTTCCACATTTGGTTATTTTCAACCCATCTCAAGGTAACTGACAGAAAGTCTATTGTTAGGTAAGTAGGCCTCATGGACAGTATATTCATACTGCCAAGTAGATAAAAGTGTGTCGTTAGCCGACATATTTGAAGGTTATACAGTCCTCAGCTTGGTTTATTCCACTGCCCCCAGGAAGTCAATGTAATCTACCTGTCCCAAACACAGGGGATCCTTTCTCGCCCTTAAAAGTCCATGAAGGGAGAACCACATCCTACCTAACTACCTCACTTGAAAAACTGTGACACCATCATTTTTTTTTAACCCAATAGGATTTCAGTATTCGAATGACTTCCTGTCATTGGCCAGGAGAGCCTGGCTGGGGGGTGGTGTCACAATACCCTTCCTATGACCAACAATGCCAACACCATTGAATAAGCCAGGCACAGGCTTCGAAGCTCACATACAGAGATATTCACAAGAGGGAAAGGACCTCCTGCTTTCATTAAAGTCCAGGGAAAAGGCCCTGCTGGAAAGGCTTTCAGAGCCAGTAAAATATGATCTTTTGAGAACATGGGCAAGGTTCAAGTTAAGCCCAAAGTGAATTTGTCTTCATATGTCCACTTTTTATTAAACTGCAGGAACAAGCATAAAGAACAACAACCAAATGCTTACATCGACTTCAAAGAGTTCTCCAAAAAGTGCTCAGAGAAGTGGAAGACAATCTCTAAGCATGAAAAGTCCAAGTATGAAGCCATAGCCAGACTGGACAAAGCACGCTACCAGAAAGAAATGAAGAACTATGTTCCCCCCCCTGGAATGAAGAAAAGGAAAAGAAAGAAGAAGGACCCCAAAGCTCCCAAGAGGCCACCCTCATCTTTTTTCCTCTTCAGTCGGGAGCATTATACAAAGATCAAAAATGACAATCCACAGTGGTCTGTGGTAGAAGTGGCAAAGCTCCTGGGGGAGATGTGGTCCAAAAAGTCAGAGCAGGACAAGCAGCCTTATGAAGAAAAGGCTGCTAGACTGAGGGCCAAGTACCACCAAGAACTCATGGCCTATCGGGTTAATCATGATCAGGGATGTTCAAGGAAGAAGGGACCAGGGACCTCTGGCCAGTATCAGAACAGAAAGAAATCCAAGTCGGACAAGAGTGACGATTATGATGAGTCTGATTCAGAAGGCAACCTGGATTAGACGAGACGAAGACGTGAATGAGGAAAGAAAAATAAATGCCCTCGAACTGTATAACTGTATATGTGTCTCCTTTCATTCTTGTCTGTGTTCCTTACATGATGTTGTTGGTTCCCTGATCACATTGAGTTTTGGGAAAAATTAGAGTTTGGAGGGCAGGAGACGAAAGAAAGAAAAGGGAAGGAAGGAAAGATCTGAAAGAAAGGTGTATACTTTTTTTCCCCAGAAACATTATTTTAGAGGGAATTTGGAACTTAAATAGTATATCATCCACACAGATGGTATAATCTGACCTAAAAGTGAGGAGGGGGTTTCTTCTGTCCCTCTATTTCCCTTGTTAACTTTGCTTTTGAAAATATTTGAAAGATTTCAGTTTACTAAATGGAAATCCCAAGATGACCTGCTTCCTCACCCAAACAAACACATTTAGTTCTGGGAAAGGAGGTCTGATCAAAATCAGTGCTCAATGCTTCCCTATAACACTGGTACATATTTTTTGTGTGGCGTGTTTTTAGACTCATATCCCACTACGGACAACTTTCTACTCAAACTCACCCTAACAGTGTTTGAATTGGAGATGACGTCACAAGGAGCCTTCTTGGGAGATTCAATTAGGCTCTTTATTAGCCAGTGTTAACTACACTTCAGGCATTGGAGGGCAAGACAAGACAAAGCAGAGTGATTCAATAATAGGGTCATATCCTATTTAGATTTCTTTCTTTTTTAAAAACTGGTTCACATCTTCCACTTTTGACTCATATTTATGCACTTCAGGATTACAGTCCACAACATTTTGTTTTGTTCCTGCCTGTCATGTTGTTTTCCCATCACTTTAAATGTCCCCTCAATCTCTTAAATCCAAAATCTAATCCTTTTTCTCCAAGGCATAGCTCAAAATCCCCCTTAACTTTGCCTGAGAAACAAGCTGAGAAGAAGAGGGATAATAGCTAAAAATGTAGAAAACAAGAGATTTGAAGAAGTTTATATATGATCTAGCATTCTAGTGTTATGTCTCATTCATGGTCATGTTATATAGACCATCACTGTGGGAAGGGAAGGAGATGGGGGAGAGGTGAAACTTTCCCTTATCTTATAAAGGGGCCTAACTGGATGATTCTTGTCTTGAGATCCCTTTCCAGCTCCTTTAACATTCTATGATCCTTCAGTTAAGTTCGAAGTATATCAATTGGTCTTCTCAACTAGACTATGCAATATGCTCCTTGAGGAGAAGGGCATTTTTGTGTTTGTATTCTTAGTTGATCATATATGGTAAAGACAGTAATTTGTAGAAATAAATTTGAATTATGAGAGGTTATGAGACCATGACAATAGGCATACTTTTATGATGGAAGCTGTACTGGATTTTAAAAAAAACCACGACTTGTTTGAATGCTGAAGTGATTAATGGTGAAGGTGTGAGTATTAAAACACAGTTAAAACAACTGTGACTATTCTCTAGAGACTCCTTCTAGGAAGATGAAAACTTCATTAGCATTTGGGCTGCTCCACATTATTTTAACAGAGCAACACTGAAAGGGATATGAGTGTACTGGCAGCTTCTGGTGATTGTCCATTTTAAGAAAATACAGAGTCAGGGAGAGTGAGATTCAGACCAAGACTAATGGAGAGAATAAAAACCACCCAGCTTTAGAGCTAAACATGTGTATTGATTTCCTTCTTACAAAAGGGTATCGAGCTCATTCTGGCAGTTTTCTCACTCAGTTTCCCAATCTTGCCAGCCTTATTATCTCCCGGAACACCCACCACCAAAACAAAAACAAAAACAAAAACAAAAACACCAAAATTATATAGAGAATTATGTGGGAATGAGATAGAATCATTAGTTGGGAAGTCAAGAAATCTGAAATCTGAGTCTCAGGCCTATCCTTTTGATTCTTTTACAAGGCCAGGCCTAGTCTTAGCCAGGTCTCTAGGCCACTAAGCATAAGCAAGGAGGGTTCACATTTGACAAGCTCTATGCTGATCTGAAGAAATCTCAGCTTTTCCCCATATTTGTACTATACCTTACTTCAAGATTTACAAAACTGCTTTATGAGGTCATAGGAAGCTGGTTAGTCAAGGCAGTCTTGCTTGTGGACTATTTCAGCACTGCTTTACTTAAAAAGCTCCCTTCTTTCATCCCGTCGGCTTCCTCCTCCATCATTTAGTGACATGTAGAAGGACACTGGAGAATAGACCAGAACTGTAGTCAGGTTAAGTATGATGACAATGTCTCCTTGGCTTGTGTGTCCTCCTGTTTGAGATTTGCTGTGATATGTAATGTGGTAGCTATTAAGATGTAGACAGCCTGTTTCTTCAAAGGGGAAACTCATCAAACTGATTAAGGAGCCATTTTGTGTACTAGCAAGCTGAGCTTCCCTTTGTTTCTAGAGCTTCTCTTGGCAAAGAAAAGGTCCAAGATTATTGGTTGGTTGAGGGGTAGAGGAGAGGAGACAGCTGTAAATGAAAAACAAAATTCAGTGTTTAAAGAAGAATGATTCTAAATTTGGGGGTAGAGTGGAGTGAAAGGAAAGATACCAGGTTTACTCCCTAAACTATTGACATTTAGTCTCTTCTAGATTTGATTAAATTCTAATTAGAAAGTAAACATCTTACAGATCTCATCTATTTCTATGGATAGTTTTTCTGTTGGGGGTGAAGTAAAAAGGTTAATATTATATCTCCCCTAAATAGTAAAAAAGATTCTTTTGAAGAACCTTGTAGTCAATGAACTCAATCACAGGTAGTTTATGGTTACAAAGGACTTTATCTTTTGCTCCCCACAACTCTGTTAAGGGGTAAAGTAAAAGTGTTTAGTCCTCATTTTATGGATGAGGAAAACTAAGATTTGGTGAAGTGAATCAGTGTTTTGTTGCATCAATGGGTTTGAATTAGGGACACTTAAACTGACTTTGTGAGTTGGCCCCAGAGGGCAATTAGAAGCAATTGGCAGTCTGTAGATTGCAAAAGGCTTTGTTTTTTTGTTTGTTTGGCCTTTTTTTAAAATTATTATTATTAGCTGGAAAGGGACCTTAGAAGGTCATCTGGTCTAACCTTTTTTATGGATTTTACAGATGAGAAAACTGAGTCGGCATGTTTACCTACTTGTAAAATAGGTAATACTAACTAACATGATGGATTTGAACTAAAATCCTCTGATTTCAAATTCTTGCAACACCCTTTCTACCTCACCACTATGTGTGGGGAAATTTTCTTATATGTAAATGGGATTTAATTAAAAAAATAAAACTAATGCTTACATTTATAAAATAAAAAAGGCATTTTCCTCATATTACCCTTTTGAAGGAGTTAGCAGAGGTGAATTCACTCCTCCCCTATAAAAGGTTATATTTGTAAGTGTTTTGTTATTATATAATATATGTTCATCTTGGGGGCTGTTTCAGCCCTGAGGGGCAGGCTGGACTGTTTGTTCTCTTGTCTTTGTATCCACAGATCTGACCAGCCCAGCTAGCACCTCTAGCTGTCCCAGTTCAGTGGTGTCCCACTCTTTGTGACCCCATTTGAAGTCTACTTGGCAAGATACTGGAGTGGTTGCCACTTTCTTCTCCAGTTCACACAGTTCTAGTGTCTAAGGCAGGATTTGAACTCTAAGACTTATCTTTCTGATTCCAGCCCCAGCACTCTGCACTCTGGTGCCACCCACCTGCCCACACCTCTAGCATAATGCTGGCTTTAATAGTGCCTATTTAATAAAATGCTTGTTGATTGATTCAAATCCCAGTCTTGCTATTTTAGCAAACCATTTCCCCTATTTACTTGGGCCCTCAGATATTTCATCTGTGTAAAATGATGGGTGTGAATGAACTGAGTGATATTTAAATTTTCTTCTAGGTCTAACTCCTATTAACCTCTAAGTATAAATTGTAATTCATTTTACATATAGAAAAAAATGAGGGACTTTCTACTAGGAAAACTGTGGCCTCTCTAGCCACAGAAACACTCCAAAAACATTTAAACTTATCAAATATAGGAGTAAATTAGAATTATCCTATGAATCCATTGTTACTATGCTTTCACAACAGAATCTAAGATCCAAGTTGAAGGAAGGCAGCTTCTTCCCTTGAGAAAGGGGCCAACAAAAGAGATGCCCAATTTGCGACTGGCAAGTGGCCAGACAAATTATATAGCATATGAAAATGAAATAAATATTACTATTCTGTAAGAAATTATGAATATGATACATGAAAAGATTTACATGAATCACATGCTGATTGCACAGTGATAAGAAAAGCCAAGAAAACAATATCCAAAGATTTTACAACAGTGTGAATGAAAAGAACAAGAAGAGACTGGGAGAGATGTAGGCAAATGTAAAAACGAAAAAATTACACTAAAATTTTGTTTTTTAAGGGGGAGTGTGGGAGGCTGAGTCCTTATGGAAAATCTCTAAGTCCTTATAGACTTTAGGATCAGTGCCTATAGAGGCTTGCCTCAGGATAAACGCTCCCATGACTCTTGCCCTAGCTCTGTTTGTTATGGTTTCTTGATTCTAAATTGTTACTCATGCCCAGCCTTGAGACTAGGTGGCTGACTCGGGTAGACAATACTAAGAACTGGGCAGGAAAACAATAGATATGAAATTTGGCATTAAAACTACTTTCTCATGAGATACTGAGGATCTTTAGCTGCTTAGATTGTTTATGTTATCAATAAGCGCTTGTAGATCATTTCTCATGGTACAAAGCTGTTTTCTATATAATCTTGTAACCTCTGAAAATAAACCAGTCTTCTGAGCATCAGTCTCAGACTCGCCTAGCCCGACTTTTCTTTCTCCAGTTCCCCTTCCCCTTTTTTCTTCACCGCTTTGTCACACATCATGCCAGCTGCTGGCAGGGAGGACTGACGTTAATAACGAAAGCAAGTAAAAAAAAAAAAAGCTTTTCTGACTTTTCATTTTGATTCACACTCTTCCTCTGGAGTTGATGTAACTCTGTCTTTTTATGGCTTTTCTCTCTACATTAATCATGGTGCAGAACTTTTTTCCTCTTAGAGTGGCAATGAGGACTGGACAAAAGTATTGGGACTTGAAATATTCTGATTCTTGTTCTAGTTTTGTACAGACATTAACTCCCTGACATCACAAAAATAGCAATAATAGCTATGCAATTTCTATACCAATTTACTTAGATACAGAATGCTTTCCTTACTACTGTAAAGTTACACAAATAGTCTTAACCCCATTTACTTGTTAGGAAAACTGGCTCAGAATATCTGAGAGACAGTGATAGTGGGTCCGACCCACAGCTATTTCTTACTGCCAGAATCAGGACTTGAACCCAGGTTACAGATTAATAAATTATTAACAGAAAAGAATAAAGATTCATATGGTCCAATCCCTGCTATTTTACCGATGGAGAAACTGAGGCCCAGAGAGAAAGTGACTTTTCTGAAGACACAGGAGTATATTTGCTGTTGAGCTTAGAGTTTAAAATCTTATCTAGTTTCCCAGCAAGAGACAGGAACAAACTGAATGCTCTTCAGAAATCTCAAACTCAGCATGTGCCACCCTGAACAACTCATCTTTGTCCCTCCCAATTTTCCTTTATCCTTGTGAGCCCACCATTCATCTTTTTGACCTCACTTTTCTTTTCATTCTTATACTGCATAAAGCAGATGAGATCAAGCAGGAATGGGAATCCCACCCACTTCCAGAAGAGACTAGGGGGAGACTGAGAAGGTGATAATGAAGAAAAGCCCTCAGGCAAGAAGAGGGTTAGAGGATACCAGCTCTAGATCCCTGAGCCCCAGGCCAACTGGAGATTTTGTTTATTTACTTTCATCTTTACAGGTTTATTTACTAAACCTGATGTAAGGCAGATAGACTCCAGCTTCCCCAATTCTCTTTTCACAGACCTCAGTATCTAATTTCCCCCTCACTTTTCCTGGCTACAGGCAGACAATCCCTTTTTACCTTCTAGTATCACCCCAGAGGTTAATTAAAAAACAAAATGAGACAAAACTGGTCCTCCTATATACATAGTACTACCCATTATGCAAACTGTTTCCTCAACTGTCCCACAGAATTCTCATTCTTGCCTTAGGATAGAATATTTCATCACGTGGTGTTACTCTCACTTGGAAACTTCTATTCTCCAGTCAAAATACATCCTTCCCAAAACATTCCCTCCAAAATTCCTGCTCTTCTGAAGTCCCTAGCATTTACTTTTAGCTTACAATTAAATACTTGTTCTGTCTATTTAAAATCCTCCTCTCATCAAAGACAGAAATAAAGATCACCTATATATAGCTGACTACTAAGAGCAACACTTTTGTGTGTGTGTGTGTGTGTGTGTGATAGTAAAGAAATGGAAACACTGGGAGTGTACCCACTAATAAGGAAATCATTGCTAAGGAAATCGTAATACATACATGCAAAATATGAGTAGTTTGGTGAAACGTGGGAAAGCTTATATGAACTGATGCAGAGTGGTGTAAGCACAGAGTGAGGAAATAATGTGTTCAGTGACTAAGGTATATAAGGGAAAAAAAAACAATCAAATGAAATTGATTGTTGTGAGGTCATATTTAATGAACAATGTTGGCCCTGGAGGGAAGAAATGAACAAAGTGCCTAGCTCCCTTCTTTCACTGGAGATGTGAAGGAATATGCAGGTGGAATGTGGCATCTATTATGTCAAACACTGTCAATGTGTCACTTGGCTGTCAGGTGCTATATATAATAGTGGCTTTTAAAAAAAATTGTTTCTCTCTCTCTTTCTCTCTCTCTCTCTCTCTCTCTTCTCTCTCTCTCTGTCTCTCTCTCTCTCTCTCTCTCTCTCTCTCTCTCTCTCTCTCTTCTCTCTCTCTCTGTCTCTCTCTCTCTGTCTCTCTCTCTCTGTCCCTCTCTCTGTCTCTCTCTCTCTCTCTCTCTCTCTCTCTCTCTCTTGCTCTCTCTCTCTGTCTCTCTCTCTGTCTCTCTCTCTCTCTTTCTCTCTCTCTCTCTCCCTCTCTCTCTCCCTCTCTCTCTCTCCGTCTCTCTCTCTGTCTCTCTCTCTCTCTCTGTCTCTCTCTCTGTCTCTCTCTCTCTCTCTCGCTCTCTCTCCTCTCTCTCTCTCTCTGTCTCTCTCTCTCTTTCTCTCTCTCTCTCCCCCCTCTCTTCTCTCTCTCTCTGTCTCTCTCTCTGTCTCTCTCTCTCTTCTGTCTCTCTCTCTGTCTCTCTCTTGCTCTCTCTCTCCCTCTCTCTCTCTCTCACT